TCCAGTCATTCCAGAAAACGAATCACGATGCATTGATCAAGGCAGATCAGGTTTTTGGATCGCTCAACAGTTCTAATCCATCTGTTTCCAAACTTGAGAACAAAGCTTAGCCTTGCACAAAACTCTGACCAATGTATTATTTTGTTAGCTGGGCATATTTGGAGTGACTGTGATGTGCATATACTGGCAATATTAGTGATATCTGCTGGTCAACAATACCTTAATAGTATAACTGCCAATGGATTTTGTTGATCAGAGGCGTAACCTAAGATTCACAGCAACAACTTTGTGTATTTGTGTGTGGCATTCTTACTAGTCTTGTTACTAGACCCGAAGTCTTAACGGAGACCAAATCGTAGTTCTAATGCATGTTCCCGCCGTATGTGCATGAGTTCACTTCGGGTACATGTTTTTTTGTCTCTATGCGTTAGACTGTACCCCACCCTCGCCCGGAGACAGCTGGGATTTTCATGCCAATATGAACAGCTATGGCATAACTCACAGCAGTTTGAGCGATAAAGCATCAGCACAATAACACTAGTACTGAATATGATGAAGTTAAATAATAAAAAAAAAAAACATGACAGCATGTCATTGATGACTGTATTTCTTTTAAAAAGCAGTACAGCTAAAATAATACAGTACCATACATGCTTTTAATTAAATAGGTCTTTGTAAATTATAGTTGGAAAAATCCAAGATGAGTTATGAATGTGGATTATTTTAAGTTATAACTAAAATAGTTTCTAAATTAAAATAAAACTTAAATTAAAAAAAAAAAAGTCAAAAAAATAAAATGTAAAAAATATCCTTGCATTTTAAGGGATAAATACACAGCTGTAATAAGCCGTTAAACGTATTGCAATGTCAGTAATTATTAAAAAAAAAAAAAAGTTGTTTGTAAAAGCCAGTGTTTACACAGCCAGACTGTACAACCTCATCTTCTTCCAAACCCTGTGAAGTCTCATCTCTGTTTCCACTCAGACGCTCATATATAGAAGAGACCGTTCTCTGTTTTCTTTCTCGCTCACACACACACACACACACACACACACACACACACACACACACTAGCCTACCAGTCATCTCTCTGACTCACACTTGGACATGGAATTAGCCTACCAGTGAGTCTCTCTGACTCACACTTGGACATGGAAGTAAGTCTTTCCACATTCAGTGGAACTAGCTCGTACAGTTCGCATACACACGGCATCCGAACAGTGTGTCCTTGTTAAGGCCCCGGCTTCTTCTAGGGATGGCAGTGCGACACTGCTATCAATCCGATACCTCGTTGTGTCCTCCAGCATGACGCCGACGTCTTCTATTTAAGCAGAATTTTTGCGATTATGAATGTCTGATGTTTTTATACGCAATAAAACAACTGAACCCAAACGACTGAACATGTTAAACAACTGAACCCAAACGACTGAACATCAACTGAATCAAATAAACAATGTCAACGTTACAACGTCAAAGTCTTTAAAGCAGGTTGGCATCCAGGAAAGACTAGGGAAGGGAGCGTACTGACACCAAGTTTCGGGACCAGTACCGGTCTTATTTCAAGTAAAGGTAACTCATTGAAAGAGTCTGAAGCTGCTATGGTGGAAAAGCAGATTCTCCAACTTTACAGCAATTCTATAGAAGACAGGAATTATTTTGCATTTCGGAATAAACCTCCGAGAAAGTTTACAGTCAAGCATGTCTTATTTTGCTTACTTACTTTTTAATTGATTTCAAATCCTAAAACGCTCTGTTTTATTTTGCGCTTTAGTTCATTTACATAAATACTTAAATTCTCTATTGTAAGGGGTCTGAGTTGCAGTTTTTTTTTCAGAAATAAAATGGTTCTTCTTCAAAATGATCTGGCATTGTGTTCATTGAAATTGTCTATGTACTGTGATATACATCAAAAGTACTAGTGGTATTGATGAGTCAGTGGGAGTGATAAGTCAGCATCTAAGAGTGAGTACTCCATTGATATAAGTCAGCATCTAAGAGTGAGTACTCATATTTGGTCTGAAAAGAAGCAGTACTGAACATCCGTAAGAAAAAAACAGATGCCTCAGCTAATTTGACTTTTTCTCAGATTTTTTTTTCTCGTATTTGCTGTTGCTCTATGTGTACCTGGCCTGTACCAATACATTTGCTTGAACCACTACACTTGTTCTTAGGTATTGGATCAGGTATTTTTTTCGATATCCAATCATGAAATTTTGACCATTATAGGACCAGGTTTCAGACTGATTCATCGCTAGTTTCTACTAAGGCATTTGAACATAAGTGAAGTAAAAAATGACAAAAAATAAGATGATGCTTAGTAAACTATTAAGCATTGTGATTTTTTAAAAAAAAATGTGTTGAAAACAATAAAAGCCCAATTTTAAATGTGTTGAAAACAATAAAAGCCCAAAGCACTACTGCTGTTATTGTGGAAGGCCAAGCAAGTGAGACATGGGGAAGAAGAAAATAATTCAGCCCAAAGTGGATAATGAATTGAATTATCCTAGTGCTTTGGAAAATAAGTCATCCATCTGTCATGCACCCTATCATCCCTCTCGTTCTCCTTATCATGGCGAGGGTCATGTGGTAACCTAAGCCAAAGCTAATGTTAGCTAAAAACAGAAGCTCGCCCAGAACAGGCAGCCACTCCACAACTGTGACAGTAAATAAAGATTAACCAAAAACCAAATCCAGCCCTGATAATGTACAACTGCAAAACAAGAAGACCTTGAGCGCTTTTCGCAGAGTTTCACTTAACAGCAAAAGTCAAACAGAATATTTACAGGTTGGTATCTGTGTCGTTCAATCATTGCATATTTACCGCTATTACAAATTTACAAATGTGTAAAAGTTTATTTATTTTCACATACTTTTAAGGACATCATCCCTTACAAATAAAAAATAAACTTTAACTTCACAGTTAAAATTGACTTTCATCTTCATATTTTCATTTTGCTGTGCATTTTTCCTTGCCATTTTGAGAGCAAATTTGGTTAGCCTACACTACTCGACAGTTTTTCCCTCCAAGTCATTTGATTCACGTAACTTAAAAAAACACAAACATAAAATTCGACACGAACGAAACCGCATGAAACCGGGCAAAGAGCCGCCGAACGAAACCGCATATAACCGGGCAAAGACCCGCATGCGGCTCCCGAGCCACAGGTTGGCTATGAATGACATAAACACACAAACTATGTAAAAAAATGTATGTATGTTCTGGCAGAAGATTGATCTGGGTTTAATACGATCTAGTGTCTGAATTCTGCATTGGGTTGCGTCACAATGTAACTGAAACTGCAAAATTATCTATCCAGTATCTACCCATCTGTAGCACGTAGTGTGAGGTCTTGCACTTTTGAAGAGCCTGTTTATCTTATTTTTGTTTTGAGCATTTGTCAGAGCTGTAGGTACATCTGCCTCGCACTCACTTGTCACAATGTTAAACTGAAATGTGTTGTTTTAAAACTAGTGGCTACGTTTCTTTCACATTTGAAGTTTTGCCTGAGCATGTACTAGAAATACCAGGTATGTTGTCCTACACATCCAGAAAACACGTACTAGCTTATGTTCTAACACAGGAGTGCACACATTATGTTGACTTGGGAGCTCCTTTTCAAATGACCAGACCAAAGTGATCTACCTACACTGATAATATTTAATATATATTTATTCAATTGAACTGAATATACTTCCTTACTTTGTTACCTTGATACAACTATTTTAACCTCAAATTTTGAACAAAACCACAAAAATGAGCATTAATTACAGGTGAAAATTAATTAAAAAAAAATGAATTCATTCTGATTCCACTCATAATCGACATGTTATTGCGGAATCAATCCATCGTCATGATTCATTTGACTGAATTAACTTATCTCTACCGCAGAATGAAATCCCAGAAAAGTCTCTGGCACAACCGGTTAGAGCGTTTACATCTGTAAACTGGCGCGCCAATCAAGTTTTTCTGTTAATATCAACTGTTAAAAAGTGTTTAAAACAACAACACGTGGATAAACATTAAGGTTTTCAGAGCAGTAAGTGTGTTTTATAAATATATATATATAGTACTTGTCAATTTTTTTTGTGACATTTCTTTTCCTACCAAACTTATATATATATAGTACTTGTCAATTTCTTTTGTGACATTTCTTTTCCTACCAAACATTTACCGAACCATGATGGCAATACCTAGGTGTGTACCGAACCATGCTTGCACTGCGTACTGTTATATGTTTATATATGTATATTTAATGTCAATCTTTAGTTATTTACGTTAAATTCCCATAGCCTGTATAAGACAGTGGACGGTTGCTATTTTATGCGAGCCTGAAACAATGACGCGAAGGTCTGAAATGGAGAGAGCTGTGCACAGATTAGATAGCCTGCATTCCTTTAAAAGGAAGAGAGGTTAGGCTTTGGGCTCAGGACATGTCAGCACTCGTAAAACCTAAAGAAAGAGAGGGAGAGAGAGAGATAGAGAGAGAGAGACAGAGAAAGACACAAAGTGGAGCAGTAGTTGCGTTGAAGGCCTAGAATAGAGACAGAGAGGGGGGGGGGGGGGAGTAAGGGAAAAAGAGGAAGAGTGAGAAAGATAACAAGTGCAATGCTCTCTAGCAGAGTGCAACAGGAAGTGGCAGAGCCTGGTTTACATGGGCCTTGCAAACGAATCACACAGTCACCGAAAAGCTATAGTGTACATTGCCATGCTCTTACATCACACACTCATAGTTATGTCAAATATAGGCCAGTGTTATAACGGTTTATCTTGAATTAAGAGGCAGATAAAGGTAGAATATTTTACTTTCTGTAGAATATAGAGTGACACTGAGGACTGGCGATTATATTTTGAACACTGAACCATAACGATCATTTGCGGAAATTAAGAGTTATAATTTATGGATGCAACTAGGGGAATGTCAGTCTGATACTAATATCAGATATCGATTCCAATGTGAACTAAGTATCTGGAGAGGGCCTCAGATTGTGGGACTCTTGATGCTGGTGGAGGAATGATTTAACCAAATTTTAAAAGCTGAATGTTTGAGAAGAACGTGCATACTTCTAGATGGCAAACACAAAGCAGCGGAGCAAATCTGTATGGTAGCATTTCAAACAAAGCTACTTCAAAAAAAAGCTTCCAGGAGCACTGCAAAAACAAGAAATGCTAAACTGACAGGGTAAAAGTGTTGTGTTGCATTTCACATTATTTTTCTTTCTTTTTTTTTTTTTGTATCTGTGATTCGTACAATAGATGAAACCGACCCAGTCCACCAGACATCCAGAGCATCTCCAATTAGTTTCTGACATGTTTGTTGTTCAACGGGCAAACTATTCATTAACGATGTCCAACAATGTCCATATAAACATGGCTGTTGGATCTAAACTCTCCATACTGCTGGTGACAAATCAGCACATGGGAGTAGTGCATCTTTTCATAGACTACTTCACTTGATTGAACAACATTTTAGACTCAGGTAAGTAAGCTACGTCACTTGATTGATGAGAACAACATTTTAGACTCAGGTAAGTAAATATGTGAGACTGTCACAAAGCATCACAGAGGTTCAATTTTATAAGCAGGACATTTGCAAAATGCCTATCTGCTTCTCAGATAGGCATAGCTGATTGGTCGGAATTACTAAATCTGATAAGGAAAACAGATAACCGACACAGACAATAACACCAGGCGGAAATTCTAGTTCAAAGACAAATACATTATGTCTGAGGGTGTGGCAGGTAAGGTTGCATGGGATCAATGTTCTCGATCCCATGAAGAAGATGACACCAAATATGTAACAACAAACCTTTGTTAATGACATTGCTCAGGTTAGGACATTGAAATGCTCAAAGAAATACAGTTTAGGCACAACAAGACAGGACAAGATGGCAGTAACTGCTGCAAAACACCAAAACAAACAACCAAAACTAATCGTTTGGTTTTGGCTAACTCAAATACAGGATTTTTTTTTTTTTTTTTTTGGTAAAGCCTAGGAGTTGGGCGGAGCCTGAATCCTGGCAGTCAATCCAGTATGTAATTGGAATTGTGAAGCAAAAGTCACAAACAAATCGTTTTGTTCAGGTAACAACAGAGGAAAAGCCCTACACCGTTTACATTAACAAGCTTTAAACATATAACAATACAATTGCACCTCGAATGATCATAACCAGAAAAAAAATGCATGAATAACAACTACTACAAAAACACACGACTTGTACCGGAGTTCAGTCAACTATCAGAGCTACAGCCAGTTACTGAGCTAAATTAATGATGCAAACTGTTAAATATGTACTGCCGAGATTGACTGCGGCTCTGCTGGGACAACGAGCAGGGTTACGTATTATAGAATGAATGGTTTGTTTAAAGTGAATGTTAATGTAGCTGTGAGGTTGCGACTGTGTGTGGAAGCTGGCGAGTGTCTGTTGGCTGTAGAGGTGTATATGCAGCCGCATAAGAGGTGGATTTAAGCCGCCTCTGTAGGCTATTAAAAGTCACCTAAAAGTCGCATAAAACAGCAACCAAAAGTTGACAACAACTTAGTTCTTTTTTAAAACAGTCGCCTGAAACGTAATTAAGAAGGGTACTTACACAGAAAAGCAATGAAACGAAGGGCAAGAGCGTCTCGTATGTTTCCTGTTCGAAAGTTGCCGTGTGTCAGTGGGGAGAAAAAATGTACGCGGAAGTAGACTTGAAAAAGCAAAGAGGATCAGGTGGCGGTTTAAAAAATGTGTTCTGCTGAAAAACAAATCGCAAAGAAATGCCATATAGTCGGCAGTTGCTGCTATTAATGTTTTTTATGGTCAATGTGGATGTATTGCGTCTTTAGTGTTGTCAAAATCACGAATAACTCGTCAACGCTGGTTGTTTCCAATCTGTGTTACACAGTAAATCGTCCCCATTACGGTTACAATGCCTTAGTTTGTTTAAATAACATTTTAAGATGTACATTAAGAACTTGATTATGTTAACATTTATTACACGACGTCATAAAATAAAACATCTATTCAGGGGAATTCACGGAATAGATTTGAACACTTTAAAAAATAAAGAACGGAATAGATTTGAACACTTTAAAAAAATGTTTTTTTTTAATAAAAATCCATAACGAATGTATGAATGGAAACTATGATTAGCTTTTGATGTGTTAAACTGTTTTGGAGGCTTTTGACTTTATAAATACCAAGGTAGTAGAACATATTTCAAATAGTCTAATTTAGGATTTTTTGTAATAAATTGGAAACTCAAAAACGGTTATACTATATATAATTATTTATGTCGAATTTAAAAGTTTTTTCAAAGGAAATTGTCTTTTTAACGTGCCACTTACATTCACATATTTTTGCCATTGTTATTATTTTTTTTATCAATTAACTGGCGCATTAATCAATCTATTTAATCCTGAAACCAAGTGTGTAAAGACGTCAAACTTTCTATTAATATCTAAACCGTTCGACTATTTGTTACTAAAAGCCGACCACCGTAGTAATACTTACACTTATACTTACTGTATATAAGTATAAGTAATATAAGTAAAACAATAAATGTTATTTTTATGATTATTGTCGCTGCTATAAATTGACGACTGTTAAATCTACGTCGCTGTCCAAATGTATATTGGATTAATCTTTAGGTTCCCTGTTTTTTTTTTGTTTTTTTTTTTACTCACTTTGTCTAGTTGCTCTATTTGCGCCCCCATGTGGAGAACTACTGACATCAACTAAGCACTTCATACCGCAAACTGACCAAATAACCCGTTTTTAATTTACCCTGGAACTACAACTCCCCGTTAAACTGTACCACCGTAGTCGACTATATGTGCGATGTCCTGTGTATTTAAATAAAATAGACGTTTTAAATATATATATAAAAAAGATATTTCGTGCAACAACATCTAGGAAGATTGAGTATAATAATCCTTACCATTAGCTTTGCATTGTAAATCTAGAGGGGGCTACAGATCTGTTGATCAGTGTCACTGTTTTAGGATGTTGATTAATAACAACGTCATGATACAACACCATTAGTCAAAGTAAGATTATTTTAAGAACATATACTTTATACTACATACCTACTTGTATGTTAAGGTTAAATAGCCATTTATCCATCTATGATTGGCTAAAATGGTCCACAATCACATCAGGAAGAAGTCAATTCAGTCTCTCATGACAGGAGACCTAGTCCATAGGTAGGTAGGTAGATGGACGGATGGATGGATGGATGGATGGATAGATAGATAGAAGAATAAATATACAAGAATGTGTATGGGTTTTAATTTATTTTGTGTGTTATCGTATTTTCTTAAAATAACTGCTGTGCAAATGTTCCAAATGTCATTAATACTGACTTGTTCTAGAAATTCAAAAGCATCAGCTGCATGTCTTACATTGCTTTATATGTGATGTTTGGTGGTGTTTCCTAATAACATTCGAAAGAATGTGGTCTCGTCCGTATAGCGACCAGGTGATGTAAAATGATGCCGTTCTGAAGTTTCAAAACTACGACAGGCCACGGAGACGTACCCAGAATAATGTTTATTGCTTTTGAAGATATTACTCTTTTTTTGCACTTTCATTTTTTTGTCTTTTTACAGCAATACAAAGAGAGATTAATAGGTTAAATCACTGCATTTTGGGGGGGATGTGTACAGACATACACATACTGTACAAAGAAAACAATATTTACAGCTGTTAGTTCACATGGAGGTGATTGTAGGCCTCTGGTAGCAACTTAAGACATAGAGCTTTACATTAAGTTTACAATAAAGCTTTCACAAGTAATCATACGTCCACTGTTTGACAAAACATAGGCAGATGAGTGCTACAAATCTGTACAACATGATCTACGGATCCCTATGTATTGAGAAAACAGAGTGTATCAAGGTCGCTGGGCAAACAACGGATAAAGCATGTTTTTAAGATATTTTATCATCTGGATAGTGGATGTATCAACCTACTGCTGGCAGGGACAGAAAATATTAAATAATAATAATAAAAAAATAATAAATAAAAGCAGTGTTTCCCAACCTTTTTTGAGCCACGGCACATATAATGTATATCATCGGGAAAAACCCTATGGCAAAACGTCAAACAAAAATCTTTGACCTCATAATTGATTAAAATCATGGCCTGTTTAGTTGAAGACAACGCTGATATACTGGCAGGAATAGAAGAAAGACACTCACTTTTTTTTTTAAGTTTCCATTTCCATCTGCTGCCTTTCATGCTTTGACGAGCAAAAAAAAAAAAAAAAATTATATGTAATAAATAATACTTTTCAGCCCAATAAATAAATTGGACAATATCTCCACAGCACACTAGCGTGCCACGGTATGGCGGTTGGGAATCACTGTTGTAAAAAAAAAATAATATCTCCACGGCACGGCAGTTGGGAATCACTGTTGTAAAAAAAACAGCAAAGACCTGTAGTTTACAGATTTAACTAATTACAGAAAAGTTACACTGGGTGAATACTAACTAGAAAAATAATTCCACTGGCATGTATTTAACCCTAGAGTTTTAAGTTGGGCATGTGGCAAGAATCACCAAAGGGCACAAATTAACTAGGCTTGAGAAAAATCGGAGAGGATTCGCAGCGTGACTTCTGTCCTCATCATTAAAAAAAAAAAAAAAAAAAAAACCACCTTAAGAGTGCAGCTCGCCGTATCTTAATAATTTAAACTTTCAAACATACCAGGCTTATAATATCCTCTGAGCATGTTCAAATATGCAAAAATGAAATTACAACAACACGTTTCAATTTTGCCATAGAGAATTCTAACCAATTTAATGTACACAATATCAAAATATATATACACCGAAATATTGAAAGAAGTGTGAAGAGTGGTCGGCTCCTCCACTGCTCCCTTTTCCATCTCCTGTTTAGAGAAAAGTGCACAAAATACTCGAAACCACAGGACAAAATTAATATTCACAGACCGTCACAGATAACACTATTAGAAACGTAGGAGTTTGAAAACATTGAAAATGACCTGCAAAGAACAATATCATATAAAAGTAAGTGCAAATTATTTCGAGGAGGGGGGGGGGGCGCCAGGAAGATCAAACGTATCTCTTCTCTTAAAGACTTGCTGAGTAGGTTCAACACTAGATGGCAGTATATGACCACGATCAATGAAGTATATAAAGTCTGCGCACTCCTGTTTAAGTGTCTCGTTGACGCTGACGTATTGTTGAACAGGGTTTTTTTGAGAGCATGAAATTAAACAACACCCTGCATTGTGATGAAAAACCTCCAAACTATTGAAGTCAATACTAAAAAAAAAAAAAAAAAAAAAAAAAAAAAAAAAAAAAAAAAAGAATAGACAGCAACAGTGGTACAGACTGGTGATGGGCCTATCCTAAAAAAGTGCACATCCTTTTTGTTCAAGGATGGAGTGTCACGTAAGTCAATATTCTCAGGGATCTGTCATCTGAGAAAAACACAAACAAACAAACAAACAAATAATATAATATGACAATATTAAAACAAGAATAAAGTGCATCAAAGTAAAACTTACCATAGCTCTAAGCCCCGAGGGTGTGGCACATGAGTATCACCACTCCCAATAAACCAGTACCTTACAGTACGTTAGACTGTAAAATTTCTTTCTTTCTTATTAAAATCATTTCCTTTCTTTTTTCCTTCCTTCCTTCTATATTTTCAGAAAGTCCAAGAGGTGTCATTATTTTTGAGATAATTGGTTGATTTTTCTTTTTAAATAAAAAAAATCTTTTTTTTTTTTTTTCACTGATGTTCATTTAAAATGCAAATAAATGCATTGGTATTTTATCTGCGGTTTAGAACCAAACGACCCAGGCCCCAGCACTGTTCTGGGGCCAAGTGCTTGGGGTGGAGGTGGCGGAGGGGGGGCTTCTGCTTTAAGCAATAACCTTGAAAGCGAAACAGTAATTAAAGAAGTAAATGAGCAGCTGTCAAGAGGAATTACAGAAAGACGAAGAGCATCTCGGACAAACGAGGAGAGAAGAAGAGAGCGTTACTAGAGCTTGATGGGCGAAAGATGACGCGGTATTAGCTGTGAATCAGTTTGAGAGTGTCCGTTTCTCTGTGTCTGTCGTGCAAAGCCATGGACGGAGGAGAAGGAGTGATTGGAACCAGACTCTTCAGCGGGTGCGGTGACACCGGTGGAGGGAGAGCGGAGATGCGGGGCAGCACGCCGGCCTTCTTTCCATCCAACTGAATCGGCGATTGATTGGCCAGGCTGGGATTCTTCCTCATACTGAACTCGTGCTCGTTTTCATTCTCTGAGCTGCAGTCGCTCAGATCTGTGATCTCCAGGTCTGAGTCTGACTCCGGGTCCTGCTTTACTCCTTCTCTCCTCTCGGTGGGGCTCTGCCGCTCGGCCCCGTTGCCCCCTCCTATTCCAACTGCGCCCAGGCCCAGGTTCAGCCCAGCGCCGGGAGGACTAGCTTCCCCCCTCTCCCCCAGAATCGCCCCGTTGCCAACTTCAGTTCGACCCAGAGAGAGGCTGCCCGGGTAGGGTGGAAGGCATGGTCTCGCAGGCTGACCACCCGCTGTGATGTTTGCGCCTGTTGTCTCCCTCTCACCCCCACCTGCCTCCCCTGTGGGCAGCAGGGAGGAAAATGGGTGAGGCAGCTGGGAAAGGCTGCTTTGCAAAGGGTTGGGGTAAAACTGTGAAGGGTACAGGGACCCAGGGGGTAGTTTGGGGCAGCTATTGAGGGAGAAAGCCCCTGGGAGATAGGGGTTAAAGCCCCAGGGGTAGTCAAATGGTGGGTTGCGTGGGTAGGGGCCCAGCAGAGATGGGGGTTTAGAGTAGCACGGGGTGCCTGTACCGGAGGGAATCAAAAAACGGTGGTTAGAACACAGAGGTTTCGTGACATACAACGTTCAGAAATGTTCCCTATTTGTGTTTACTAGCATTAGCGATTCTGATCTAAAGCCACGGGGGGCTAATTCTGGAGCCAGTTGCCTTCAACAAAGAGCGATGGGGGTCATTTATGCATGCCGCTGCTGCATAGCGCGCCGTGCTACGAAGACATGGATTCTGCACCACCTAATACCTGCGTGTTGTACCGTGTGACAAAACATTTGTCCTTTTAGGAAGATGGCGAGCCATAGTTTGAGAACGCCGTAAGCCGAGGACCCCCTGCATATAATATTGTGTACTACTTGGTGCATTTTTTGTGTGGCGTTTTCGTGGGTGAACTACGTGTTTTATCCATCCATCCATCCATCCATTTTCATCCGCTTATCCGTTACCGGGTCGCGGGGGCAAATCACACTGCATCGTACCAACCCCCCTGAACATTCCTGCGGGTGGTGAGTCCACTAGGAGGCGCCAACCGCCCTAACCGGGATTCGATCTTACCCAAGAGGTGAACCTTGGGGTTCCAAACCAATGACAGAGACATTGCCTCATTGGACCAAAGCGCCACCTATGGGTTTTACTCCTCCACGTTTTCTTTTATTTCTGCTGTGTTTTACGTTGCTGTTAACCTAGACCGGTACTTCTTAAACTTTGGGGCGGACCCCCTTCTGGGTGAGTCGTCGAGCCTAGTGACTGTAGGTCGCTAGGTGGCAACTCGTAACGGGGGTTTGCGCAGATAAGAAGTCAGACATTAACGCCACTAAGACCCCGGCGGAAGAGAAAAGTACGAACTAAGCCGAAAAGTGACGTCGGCGAGAAATTTCAAACTCCAAAGTGTTGAAAAGGAAATATTTGGCCACAGTTTGAATGCACACTGTGACAGCTGGGTCAGTCACCTTGTTAAAAAAAAAATAGTTTTGGGGCTAAATAATAAAGCACGCTTCAGCTTGTGCTTCCAGAGGTTAAAGAACTGACAGCATGAAAAGTGCCTATCTCTCCGCGACTAACTCTTTGTATCATTTTAGATTAGGTCAACTCCTTAAGGTGAAGCGAATTAATAACTGCACCACATCTGAACTCGGTGCGGTTCCTGGCGAGAGGGGGGGGGTCTCTCGGTGATAGAAAATGCCGGTACGCCGAGGTGAAGCTGGTGATCAATGATGAATGAGCAAACAAAAGTATTGTCTTCTCCACCCTGCTGTACTTCCTTCCAGCTGACAACTAACTCAAAGATTCTCTCTTGCCCGGTTTTTTTTTTTTTTTTTCTCTCTCTCTCTCTCTGGCTGGTGCATTCTCTCCCTTCTCTTTAAGTCTCCCTCTGTCTTCTGCTCTCGTTCACTATGTTATTTACTATGCAGGGCTAATTTGACAGTGGTGAAGTCTCTGCATGCTGGAGCAGGAGTAGCTGGCAGACACATGAATATTGAATCAGTCAGGCAGGCCTCACTTGCTTATGAAAACACAGTAATGGGCGCCCACAGGCCACAAACTGAAGCCTGCACCCACAATTAGGGCCTTCCTGCCTGGGAAGGGATTAGGACAGTGGGGGCACATGGGAAAGGGAGAGGGGGGGATGAGAAAGGAGGAAGGAGGGTAGGGCCTGAGGACAAACTGAGTGGGGAGGGACAGACGGTGGGGGGGCGGTGAGGGGGGGAGTTGTGAAAGATGCACTTTTTTTTTGAAACGTATGAGTGCAGCAGAGCTTGTTTACACGCTGAAGCCCACCAGGCTGTTTCTGATGAGCACCAGAACAAACAGAGAATCTGAATAGATCCATGATGGCTTATTACACGTGCACTCAATGTCAGTATAGGACCTGAGACTGTTGATCATATAAAGATTGAGGATGTCCAATATAGACTTTTTGCCGATTTTGTCCGATACGCTGATATTGTCCAAACACTTAATTTCCAATTCCGATATCAACCGATACCGATATATTCAGCCGTTTCGGAGGAAAAACCGATAACGGTTGTTACAGATATTACATAATTACGCAATTATCGGGCCGATAATATCAGTCGGACGATAGCATTGGACAGTAGCAAAGTTTATGAAAATTTACAAAATTGACTTTAAATATTTTATTTTTAGGAAACAATGGCTAAAGTGGGGAAAGACTCCTTTACTATCACTAGAAAGTTCCAGGTGTGATACAACCGAGTCGCCAAATCTCAGGTTGGGTTGCAGCAGTCTTTTTCAGGTAATGACTTTCAGGGGCTCCTTGTTGTCTAAATGACATTTTACTAATATGCTTTGGTTGAGAAGAACAAATGATTGATCGCAGCTACGTTCCTAATTGTATAACGCCCAGTCGTGTGCCACACGCTTCGACCACAACGACACGGGGAACAACATCGATCTCCAGAAATAAGTCAAGAAGCCAAGAATGAAGTTATGCCTTTTTGCAGTGGTTGCAGGGGTTCCGTACCTCTGTACTAATACGTTAGTATCTATGCTAACACAGCGGTAACATGAGAATCTAGACCAGGCGGGGACAAACGTTTTGAGTCGCGGGCCCCGATTGGTCCTAAAATTCAACAGGGGGGACCGAGTCAGGAGCAGAAGTCATGCATAAAGGCTAAAATCCTAAAATGCTTTTATCATTTTCTACGCCATCTATTGGGGAAATGGGGTATCGCAGTGAAAAGGCAGAAGTATAATGACAATATAAATAAATTATATAATATGAAAAAAATTCGCAGGGTGGACTAAAAAAACTGAAGGGGCCACATCCGGCCCCCAGATGTTTGCCTATGCCTGATCTAAGACCTAAAAATGGAGGCCTCCAGTCACTAGGTGGCAGCAACTCATACAGGGGTTTGCATAGGTAAGAAATACACTTTATCAGGTTCTCAATAGTATTTCAATGTAGATAAGAAATACACCTTATCAGGTTCTCAATAGTATTTCAATTCAAGGGGTAGAGGGCGTGAAAACATTTCTGTCCCCTAGGGGGGGGGGCATGACTAAAACTAATTAAGAAGCACTGGCATAAACTAAGCAAAGTTGTTTGGCTTCACAGTCTGTCTCCCCTGTGTTACAGATGACACCTCCATTCTGCTGCCTCCGTTTTTTGCCGTGCTAATGCATAATTAATGGGTTTTCCTGATCCACCTGATTTTTTTTGGATCAATTTCTAATTTTTTTCTGCATCCATTGACTTGGTTTATTTTTACAGTTCAGGTTCATTTTAAGCACAGGGCTTAAGTCCAGCTTCACTGCCTCTCTTAAATCGTCTTCGCTACTACAGCTGCCCGTGCTCTATTCTACTTGAATACAGCATCTCCTACATAACACAAGACAGCATAGTTTTTTTTATATATATATTTATCTATATAACCCCATCTTTAGGATACCAAAAGATTCTCCTTTAGGTTTTTGCAGAGACAAATTCAGTTTGATGTTGAAGTTTGTTCCCCCCCCCCCCCTCTTGTCAGCTCACCTGAACTGAGGAAAGGGAATGTGTCCAGCCTTAGCTTGTCTCCTTCAGGCCCTGGTGCGGTGGTACCACGATCAAAAAGGGATGTTCCTCTGCCAGACTCTGGCAAGCGGGGAAACAGGGACTGTATGGTCTGAGTAACAGGGAGGGAGATAAAGAAAGAGAAAAACAGTGAGTAGAAAAAAAAATAAGTACCAGGCTGATAAATATGGTGTTGTACAGATACTTTCTTTTTTTTTTTTTTTTTTACAGCTGTGATTTTCTTTTCCACAGTTAATAATAAAAATACAGTTTTAGGTATGATTTCGCTACACAATTTTCTTCAAATTAAAAAGGGAATAAAATATATGCTTTAGGTTTCACATTGACATGTTTCCACGGTGAGCTCTGTTGAACCAGTGCTTTATAAAGGCTTGGTCGTCCTGGTGGGGCAACCGGACAGTCGGAGGTATTGACACCCGGTCTACATGGCAGGACGACAGCACCTTTGTAAAGACAGCTGATGAGGAAACTTCTGGAAGGAAGACGGGAGCCCACCGTCCAAACATGTCAAGGTAAAATTACACTGGATTTGTCTAAATCTCTGGTATCAGCCGTTACTGCGGACCGGTAGTACTGCGTCATCGTTGAAGGATTATTAAATTTTCAAAATAAAACCTAACTACTAACTTCTGTTAGTATCAGAGTCTGAATGATCTGTTGTTTTGAAACATTACCATAGAAGTAAAGGGATATGACTGGATTCTTTTTGAATGAAGTGAAATAGTAAAACTGCAGTACATTTTTTTTTTACTGTGCCCCGCTGCGGCCCGGTACCAAATGACCTCGCCTGAATAATTGTTTTGAAACATTACCATAGAAGTAAAGGGATATGACTGGATTCATTTTGAATGAAGTGAAACAGTAAAACTGTGCCCCGCTGCGGCCCGGTATCAAATGACCTACGGACCGGCACCGATCCCCGAACCGGGGGGTTGGAAACCCCTGCTTGATACAAACTGTCTATCAAGCTTTATCAAGACAACATGAATCTATCAGGAAATACGTTCATGTCTAATTGCTGCTTGAAATATGATGATATTTGAGAAAGCAAACCAGCAGGGGGCAGGATCTTGGCGGACCAAGAATGAAAAGCTAGATACGGAGTCAAACTTTCATAGGTAACTCGATCTTTTAAAAAGATTCCAACCATCCGTATTTCACCAATCATCTTGAGGTTTAAGTAGAGACCACGGTCCATTTTGTGTGAGGGGACAGGATTTGAGAGCGGCACATGCATCCAGGATGTAGGATATCGTCGATGTCGATGTGTAAAATAAAGTATGAGAAGAAGGAGGAAATGATGGGGGGGGGGGGGCAAATGGAAGGGGTAAATCTAAGTAACTGTACTACCGAGCTACAGGATCTGCGTTCCTTAACCCGCTGCATTAATGACCTGCAACTGATCTGGCGTGATTCCCTTCCCTCGCGGTGCCTTTCATTTCCAATCGATGGACGGATGGATACAGCATCGGAGACGGGGATGAGAGGAGGTGGGGGATAACGTCTTCCTTTTTACTTAAGGACAAGTTAAAACCGTCCCCTCATTCAATGTCACCGCTCGAATCTGCCTCTCCTTATCCAGTCTTAAGGGGTGACACAGATGCATGATGGATGATTCTCTTTTACTGTACTTTCAAAGGCACGTGCACTTTTCGGGAGCAGCAGGCGTCTGCGGCGAGAGGGTTTGAACAGTGGCACTTGGTGTCCACCAGCTGGACACACACTTGGGACGATACAATGGCCCCCCCCATTGTATTGTTGTTGTTACTGCTGTTAATATAACTGCAGTTGCCATAGATGCCATTCCCATCACTTTTCTTTTGCTATATTTAAAAATAAATTTAAGGATATAACATAAAAAAATAGGCTTTTGTAAACATAAAAAGCCACCCTGTTTTTTTTAAAAATGTAGTCAAAGATATAAAAGCATTAAAATACAGAAAGAGCCGTTCATTTGGCAAAAGATAAATCGCCAAAGTTTTCCTACACGTTGGGATCTTGCGGCTAAAAAGACGATGAGGAGCAGAAACGTTTCATATAGAAAAATAATAATAATAATAATAATAATAATAATAATAAATAATCTTAAATTTCAACCCCGAAAAAAAATTATTAAAAAAAAAAATGTAATATGTAATGTGAGCCTATAATCAACTTGCCTTTTACCTATAATTTTGCGTGTATAAAAATGATTTGCTCAGTGAGAAGCAAATTTCTACTGCATTTGTTCCTTCGTTTCTAGAAAGGTCCGGTAAGAATGACGAATGAGGTTGATTACTGCATACCAAAATAAGCTAAAAACTATATATAAAAAAAAATTCATATGTAATTTTGTATTTTTCTTGTTTTTTAAAAAAATCTGTAAAATGAAGTTTTGCAGCACAACTGTTCAAGTTCTTTTCTACTTTCCCATCATACCTCTGGGGTGCAGTCCGGGGCTGTGGTGCCTCCGCTGAAGTGGTTCTGGGCCAGAAAGAAGGGCGTGTTCGCCATGTCCAAGAGGGGGTAGTTGACTAACACCACCTTGCTGAAGTTGAACTTGTAGGTGAAACGTTTCCCTTTGGTTTTGTGTAATATCCGCTTGTTGTAATAATACCTGCCAAGCAGAGGAGAATGGAGGAAGTGGACAGGGATAAGAAGGGAAAAGAGGAAAAAAGGAAGACAAAGAAAAGAATTACCAAAGCGCTCTCGTCGAGGATTCGGAGTTTAATCCTGTACAAAAACAAATCGGTAAACAGCCTGACCGCTACGGGCAAGAGCGTTCTCCTCTTAGCTGCTTTTTTTTTTTTTTTTTTTTTTTCCATTGTTGTTATTCATCCCGTAACACCTCAAGTCAGTTCATGGCTAACTGCCTTGATCCAAACAATACAATCTTTTAGGGTAAATTTTCTTCAGCTGTTAACCCCCTCCCCCTCTCCCTTTCTCTCTCACACACAAACAAACTCACACAAAAAAGCCCAATTTCTCTGACAGTGTTTTTAGACCTTCATACACAGAGAAGGGTGAACACCAGACTGCTGATCAAATACTCAGATCAAATGCGGAACAACATTTCAAGAGCCATCATTCTCAGACACTCATGTTGATCATTACGTTCCGCGAACACACCGCACGGGTTAGCATTCTTCATGCACAGCTGTTAACGTCCCGTACTCACTAAAGTATGATAAACATGTGGACACCCTTAAGGTATGTAATATGCACTTTGTAATAATGTGGCAAACTTCACGTTGGGCTGCACATCGGCTCTGAAAGCTTGTGAAACTGTGTTAAGGTGTCAGACAAGGTAACAGATCTGAAAGCAGTTGCACACGTCTTCAACGTCACCCCCTTCAAATTAAAAGCAGTAAATTGAGTATATATTTTTAAATAGAAACTAGTCAGTGAGCAATTCCTGACAGGTTGCGGATTTAAGAAGCTAAGAATAGTAGCGGCTGGTAATTAGGGCGATTGAAGTGATGCCAATGAAGTAACAATAAATCACATTTCACAAGTTTGAAATTCAAAAATGACTCCTAACTCTACGGTTAATCACAAACTCGCAGACCTTGTGAGCGGGAAATTATCGACTAAGGATGGCTCCATACGACTTTTCCAATACTGACTCCACAACTTGGAGTGTCAGCTGATACCGATATCAATTTGATATCTTTTTTCTCCTCCAGTGTGCCGCAGGCTACCATTGCTCAGGTGATTTACATGTAGCGCAAAGTTAAGTTGAGCATTTTGGCTTGGTTGCTCAGGACACGGCGTATTTGATCATTTATTATTAATTGTTCTGAGATCCCTTTTGGTCTCACCCCTAAATGTTGCTGCTTCAATTTTTTTCAATGTTTTAACTTCAAACTTTTCAAACATTTTGCTCTTAACCAGTTTAGCCTTCCGTACTAATCTCCTTTTAGACCAGGCATGGACAAACTAAGGCCCGGGGGCCGGATGCGGCCCATTCAGTCTTTTAATGAATCGGCCGTCCCTGCAATACCCATGTCTTCCTGATAGACGCATTTTAGCCTTTATGCATGACTTCTACCTTAGTTCACACCAACGTTCCATCTATCTACTCGTGACCCGCCCCCCCTGTTGAATTTTAGAACATTGTGGGCCACGAGTCAAAAAGTTTGGCCACGCTTGGTTTAGACCAAGTCTCTGGAAAAATTCAACAACAACAACAACACATAAAAGCTACAAAATAATCTAGGCCAAACTAATTGATTTTGTCACTTGGTCTCTTCTGTTTCTTCCTGGGCATTGGGAGTGGGTTGGGGGTTGGAGTGGTACAACCCATCCCTGCAAGGAGATCCGTGTGGTATCTGTTTCATTGACGGACAGACAAGGAGTTTGGTTGTGTATTTTGGGGGGGGGGATATTACAAGGTGTGACGTTTGTGTTCAACAGTTTCCTCGCTTGGGTTCAGTGGTTGATACGCAAGCTGCCCCCAACTTTCCCTGCATGGTTTTGTGTATCTGACATATAGGGGGAAAGCATTGGGGATCGATCGACGTACTCCAGTCAATAAATTGATAAACCTCCTAGGTTTTGCGATACTAAAGGCAGGGAAAGTAGTCAGTTTATTTAACAGAGCAGCTCGAAACCACTGGGCTTGTCGACGTACAGGCGGTTTTTCAACCAACAGAATGCATTAATAAGCAGGTCTCTGTGGCAACAACCCCAGGTGTCTCCCAAAGGGCATGTCAAGTCGGCACCATGCCAGTTTCCTGTACCACCCACAAAGGTGTCACAGTGTACAGTCTGCCAGGATGCCAGGTTGATAGGGAAACATGGGAGCCATCTGGTCCCAGGTGGAAGGAGCCGAGCGCTCTGACAGGGGGGGTTAAAAGCGTGGTTTTTTTTTTGTGTTTGCATGAACAGAAGGGAAGGAGAGACAGCGGATGCTGCGGAGTGAAGAATCTGCTTGATAGTCTAATGAAGAGGTTCCCAAAGCAGGGGGTGCGCCCCCTAGGGCTCGCAAAGTACCACTGCAGGGGGGGTAGCGGATTGAGTGAACGAATGAAACGTAACGCAACGTATTGTCCGATGCTGTAAATGTTTAACAAGAGACTGGCGATAGCTGATAATAATATTAAAAAGGAGACGGTTATTTTTAATTCTTGCTCTCGTTTTTGCTGTCGCCCGTTCGATCTGCTCACAGCAATAGCTCACTCCTACTAACTGACCAAAGTTGGCAATGCTAGCATAAATTGGACAAGTATAAGGTGTGTAAAAACAGTTACAGTTACTACTCAGCGTTTAAGTTTCTTTTTAAGAATGGTGTTCACACATCACAGGGGCCGTTAGACACGCTCTGTAATATAAAGGGAGCAGCTTAGCCTTATTACGAATGTGCACTGTGTCATCAGTGGAGCAGCGCGCTAATCTGTATGTATTCACTGTGTCTGCATTCTGGGTGCAATCGTGTGTGTGCGTGCGTGTCGTGCCTCGCGCGGCAACTGTGCCGTGGCCCTTAATTGAGCAATTAAGTGAGGCTAATTAAGAAGGCTAATTGTGGCCTCAGCCAATTCATTACAATTAGCCTTTGACGACAGTCCCCATTACAAAGAGGCCAAAGGAAAGCGGTATGAGAAAGGAAGGGGGGTGAAGGCGTATTTGCATAAGGAAACTGCAGTTGGGGGTTTGGAGCGATGAAAGTCGGGAGTGAACGGCTTCCTTCTGAGAGAAGTGAAAGACATTCGCACTAGATTATACCCGTGGTCTAGTTTACTGTAGTAGATAGTAACCCTACAACAAGAAGATAACAGCACAAACCCAGAGTTCTCAGATTCAAGGGTGATAAAGGTTAACAATAAGCCAAGATAGATTCTTCAAACTGGCACCTAGTCCATCGGAGCATAATGAGTTGTCTTTCTTTCTTTGGGAAGAATGATCATATGTATGATGGGACAGTGACTAACTTAGCCAGAAGAGAACTACTATGAATACTCCTGTCAAATACGTGTACAAGTTGATGTCAAACTGTTGGTGAGAACTTTTTTTGGTTTTTCCGTCATACCTCAGTGCCCTGCTAAGCTTATCGTAGTTCATGTGGGGTTTGCATTTCCTTATTCCCCACAGCCGTGCCACCTCATCCGGGTCCTTGATGACGAATTCTCCGTAGTCGCCCTGCCAGGCAATCACTCCCTGGTACTCCTCCTTCTGCAGCAGCTCCAGGATGAAGTGCCACAGCTGGATTTGCCTAGAACCGGGGCTTGACTCAGGCTTGTAGGCCCAATCTGGGAAGGCAAACCCTGTGGACAAACAAAGAGAGAAAAACCAGGAGGAAGATGAGATCAGATGAGAACTGTTGTTGACTATACAGTTGCTTACCAGGAAGCAGAGTGTTTGCTGCTGTTGCTGCTGTTGTCTGAATGATGAATGAGTGATGGAGGTGAAGGATGGTGTGTTTAATATCACAGCACACGCCTTGAGCAATGTTAGTCTCTGCTGATACCCTGTGGCCCTAACGGGTCGGCAGGATGACACCTCACTGGAGGAGGTCAGATTGATGCAGCCCGTGTCTGAACTGCAAGGCCTTTTACTTAATATAATAGATTTTGAACACGGTCAGAGCTTGAAGCTTGAATTCCTCTTGTGCCACCACTTGAAGCATTGGGGAAAAACTGGTTTAAGCAAATGTAGAAAAATTGCTTTTACATAATAAAAATGTTGTCCCTGCAGTAAAGCAGACATGCATGTCGCAGGGTTTCATGGGAAACTTTTTTAAAAATTTTTTTTTTTAGTATAACTGTTTATTTAGATGGTCTGGTTTTCACCCAATTATAAATGGGTCTAGAACATATGTGTCAAACTAAGGCCTGCGGGCCAAATGCGGTCCACCGAGTCATTTTGTGTGGCCTGCAGAACTTCAGTGTTTGCCTTATAATAAACTCCATGTTGTTGAGTTTTAACTTAATAAATTATTTTTTATTAGACAGAACAATGAAGAATATTTATAATAAATAATAATCAAGTTCAGAAATATGTATTAATACATTATATAGTCATTACATCTATACAGTCCTCCATTTACATTTACATTTTCCTTTAAGGGGAACTGTATTGCTGCCCCTGGAGTTTGACACCACTGGTCTAGAACCGGCAAGGGCAAACTAAGGCCCGGGGGCCGGATGCGGCCCGTTCAGCTTTTAAATCAGGCCCGCCAAACTTTTCCAAATTATATAATTTATTTATATTATCATTATACTTCTGCCTTCCTTGCAATACCCAGGTTTCTCCAATAGATGGCATAGAAAAAATTAAGCTTTGTGCATGACTTTTACATGTCATTTATGAAATCACTGAGTTTGATGTTTTCTCCAAAGGCATTTAATGGATTTCAGCATGTTGCTTGGACTCACCTGGCGTCCAGAGTGCAGGCACCGGAGGGAGCAGCAGATCACTGACACAGTTACAGTCCATGCCTCCACAACACCTGCAATAAGAACACAGGAAAACCGATTAAGATCACATCGCATGGGGGCATAACGGTGATCCTTATTGGCCAAGAGCAGAAAGACAGGTTTGAATCCAAGTGAAGATAAGCACAACTGTGTTAACGTCAGACAGTAGTAAATGACCGTTACTCAAGTTACTGTAATTGAGTAGTTTGTGTGAGTAATTTGTAATTGTTTAAGTAGTTTTAGGAATAGGTCATTTTATTTTTACTGAAGTACATTTTGGCTCAAGTTCATTGCTGCTGGAACAGAACGCGTTACTGAGAAAACAATTAAATGCGGGGGAAAAAAAATATCCTTTTTTGCAACAAGTAACTAAGTAGTTTTTAATCTAAGTAAACTTAAAATAAAGGTTTTTTTTTAAACTTTTACTCAAGTATATTTTTAGATGGATACTTTTACTTTCACTTGTATAAAATTTAAGCAAAGTAAATATACTTTTATATGATTTTTTTTTAGTACTTTTTCCACCTCTGTGAAGGACAAGGACCACCCTCTTGGCTATTGTCACATTAAAAAAAAAAAAAAAGGAAAAGCCAGAAGGACAAATTGAAGACAGAGAAACTCTGCACTGAGTCGTGTGTCAACTGTCACGTGCAACACTGTCCACATCTTATTGTCTTTTCTTTACTTCTAATTTAGCAAATAATATACTGTAACACAGTGGGAACCAAACCATTCAAGCACACGAAATAGGGAACTGTGATTAAAATGAGAGAACTTAAGAAGTCTCACTTCCTCACAGGGCTTGCATCACAATTTGCATCACATAATTTTAGCAAACTTTTCTTTTCTTTTTTTTTTTTTACAAGGTCTCAGCCAAGTGATTCTGTTATGTTCTCTTTGTTTATGTTCTTCTACTCATGGGTGTGGTTCTTTATACTAAGTTATTATTAGTTGGTTACTTGATTGATTGATTAACTGGTTTTATTTATTCATCCATTCAAAAAGGTAAACAAACATTTTTTTTGGACCAATCAAAGCATTTTAGAATAACAAATAAATAATAAAAAAAAGTAATAGCGAGAACATAATACTTAACTATACTAATACTAATCAAGGTTTACTGACACAGCTGTATGTAAAGCAGCTACAGTAATAATAACGGGCAATGAGGTGTGAACTGTAAGGAGAAGACGGGAATTTTTGTGCATTTTCAGAACAAATATATGAACACAACATAAATACCAACTTTTACCCCGCCCAAATCTAAGGTGACCGTCTGCTGACACCATATACCTTCAAGCTACTTCTTAGTTGTAAATAAAAGAAAATGACGAGAATGAGAATGATGAGCCTGCAGGTCACTAAAAGCACCATCATCATCATCAAACAGTTGGGCCAATGTGTCCTCTACGTCTGTTTTTTTTTTAAAGTAAGATGAAAAAAATAGGTGAGTATCGAATTGACCTTTGAACGGCATTACGTTACCTTAAAAATAAACGTACTTAGTTATTGATATTCTCTGTTGTAATGCTTGAATGATAGCAAGCCTCCAGCCACTAGGTGGCAGCAACTCATACAGTGGTTTGTACAGATAAAAATATACATGTTATAAGGTTCTCAATAGTATTATAATTTGCAGATGTTTGGGTCGAGGCGGGGTGTAAAAACATTTCTGTCCCCAAGGGGGGGCATAACAGTAAATATTTGAGAGTCTGTCACTTAGTCAACGTCATCTGGGTACATTACGTTGGGGGAAATACGCACGTGCATGCAATTCTCTTTCACTTAAAGTAGACTTTTTTTCCCCCTCGCATTTCATTTTTTCACTCAGAAACTGTAGTAACTGAAGTAAAATGACTCGAGTCAAAATGTACTTAAGTAAAAGTAAAATGACTCATTTCCTGAAACTACTTTTAAAAAAAATTTACAAATTACTCACAAAAACTACTCAATTACAGCAACGTGAGTAAATGTAATCCGTTGCTTATCTAACTAATGAGAACTTCGACCAGGAGTATAGTTATGGAATATTAAAATCTCAGTGGTGATTGTCGATCTGCGGTGAAAAACGACTTCATCCCTCGCGATGGTCACGTGACTCAGGTGTGGACTTTCCTGATGAGTAATGAGACACAATTTTGCTTGGAAATCACAGTTTGGTTAAGGTGGTTTTTAACAAAGCTGAGACGAAGGATAAGCTCTGCTGCTTTAATGCCGCCTTCCCCCCCCCCTCCCCCCCCCTGCCTTCGTGCTCTACCTCTATTTAATTATGCTCTGTGAATTTTGGATTTTCCCTCCAGCATTGATATGGAACGTGAATTATTGAGGTGTGTTTGTATAAATTATTATTGCTAACTTCAGGCACTTCTTACTCTCTGGCCGACCCTCTCCATCTCTCCGTCTCTCGCTCTCCTTTGCACTCACCATGCTCCAAGCCTTTGGACTGTGGTCCCTTTTTGCTCTCTTCATCTTTCTTGTTTTTCAGCCTCTCTTTCTGCCTTCAAATACAGAGTTAGTAATAATCCTCTCCTCGCTCTCATGCCCTCTGACCATGATTCTTGTTATCATTCTCCTTTTTCTTCGTCTCTTTCTCTCCCTCGCATCTTTGGCTAACTTGCTAGTCATGTTTCTATAATGAGCCCCAGTTGTTGTACAGTATGTTATGGCCCACTGTAGACACATATGAATGGCGTAACCCTTACACAGGTTTTTTTTTTTTTTTCAGAATACAGAAAGTAAACTTGGAAAGTTATATAATGAGTAAATCCATTTAGTTTAATCAGTCATTATATTTAAAAAAAAAAAATATTTAGTTGCAATGGTTTCTATTAAAAACCCTTCATTTATTTAAAAGTCTGTCTTTTTTTTACCATGTTTTCATGCAAAAAAAATTACATCATATCATATAACACATTTCCTGAACATGAAGTATTTGTGTATTTTTTTTTTTTTAATTCATGAAACGGGCCGGATTGAACCCCCAAGCGGGCCGGTTTTGGCCCATGGGCCGCATGTTTGACACCCCTGCTATAGACTATATATCAGCTGAAGCCAACAATAAAGTATCATTGTACCTCTCCCAAATATCTGATTTAAACAAGAGGGAGTCTCTAGTATTACGAGCGCCATAGTTTGAGAACCACTGTTCAGTTGCCATTCCTCCTAAAAACATCTGTAATCTGGAAAAAAAGTTGTTTTTTTTGTTATTTCTTATGGGAAAAAAAAGAGTTTTTTTTTTGTTATTTCTTATGGGAAAAAAATGATTTGAGATACGAGTACCGCAAGTTACGAGTTCGGTCCTGGAACGGATTATGCTCGTATCTCGAGTTTCCACTGTATATTGTATATGTATATATTTTACATTGTGTTGTTTGTGGGTCAGTAGGTAGAAGAGGGTCAACCCAAGGGTTAAAAGGTCAAGTACAAACTGTATTCGTTTGTATGTCGCATCCCTCCACTGAATTTGTACATACAATATATAATTGGCACAACCTAATGTTTAGACAGCCTTGAGCGGTCATATACTGCAGCGAGATACATTTTCACCCTCAAAAGGTTTTATTGAAAATTTTGTTCATGTCAGCCATGTCTTTAGCTGCAGGGAATCAGTTGCAAAAAATAAATGCTACTTTTTTCTCTTTTTTCACAATGTAATAATCTATACGTTCACTCGTACCAAAAGGCCTACAGGTCAAGCACATCTGAGGCAAATTCAAAAATAGAGCACATTTAACAGAAAACAACGCCAAAGTGTTTCAGGGGAGGAAAACAACAAAAAGAATCAAGCAATTAACCGATAACCTTTTCATTTTATTTAAAGAGAACGGCGACCTGGTCCAGAAGAAGAAATCTAGAAATCTACTTTATCCCCCCTTCCAGCTCACCACTACCACATAATATACCAGGATTTTACGAGCCACCGCTACATCTCCAGTGAAAGGTGCTCCTGCATCTCCTCGGTAACATCTTCGCAGGTGAATCCTTCGCTCTTCTTCTCCACCTCCTTCCCGTTCACGGTCACACCTATTTGCTCCCCCCCCCTCCATCACTCCCCACTCTCCTCCTCCTCCTCCTCCCTCTCACTCCAGCTCTCCCTTGCTCCTGTTCTGTGTGTTTTGCTCTGGCGCACTAATTTTCCGTTTGATTTCGGAGGTAATGCATTTTTTACAAATCAAAGAGGAAGCCAGACTGCCCCTCTTCCTCCTCCTCCTCCTCCTACTCTTTTCCCCTCCCCTTGCTCCCCAGTCTCCCGTTCTGGCCCTCCAGGCCAGAGAGGAGATAAAGGAGCCCCCATCATTTCCTTGTTAGTTTTGATTTGGGCAGCGCAGGGCTTTCAAGTTTCCCCGATAACCCCCAGAAACATTATAACTAGCAGCCCAGGGAATACTCTTCCTCACACACACACACATACACGCACACATGTACACACACACACACACACTGTCAGATACAGATGCTCGCTGATGGTAATGGATTGTACATTCACAGTGAATGCAATGTCTGGACCGGCTAGGTATAGAGGAGCTGCTGCACAGAATAAGATATGGCGCCCATAGATGTTGACTGAATCGATACACACACACACACTGACTACTGAAGCCCATTTCACTGAGTCAAGGAAAGAATGCACCGTTGTTTACAAACGATACAGGTGAACAGATAGAGGGCAGAGATGTGTAAAGGCAAAAAAACAAAAAAACAACAAAAAACCCACTCCCAATGCTCTTTACTTCCTACTGTGGACAAAGCAATCCAAACAAAGGCTGGTTCTTTTGCAAAAGGCCACCCATAAAAAAAACCCAGTGTGAATGATGGATTACACACTTCCAAGTGACAAATTGAAGATACACACACAAACACACGGGGG